CCGCGGGCGCAGGGACAGCAGGTCGAGGAGAGGAGAGGGGAGGGGCTTGGGCTCAGCTCTTCCGGGATGGGCGGGGCCCGGAGTGGGGCGGAGGGGCGGGGCCTATCTTAAAGAGCCCAGCACCCCTGTCCACCTACGAAAACCCTGCCTAGCACACGTCCCCCCAACTTTTTATTTTTCAAAATTTCAAACCTCGAGCAAAGGTGCAAGGAGGAGAGTAAATACTCATATGCCTACCATCGATTGCTCATATTTTCTTACATTTAGTCAATTTCTCTTGATATATATAGAGGGTGTCCCCAAAAAATGTATACACACTTTAACTCACTTAATTTTGAAAACGTATGTTAATAAACACTGACTTCATAATCATTCAAAATGTGTATACATTTTGGGGGTGACACCCTGTATATGTTTTGCTCAACCACTTCAGAGTTAGTTGAAGGCATCATGACATGTCAGTCCTACATGCAGGAGATGTACAGTATCTCATAAGAAAAAAGACCTCATCCTAGTAACCACCACCTACCATTGTAATGGTCAGGAGACTTACCCTCATTTAATACTAGTACCTAGTGCAGGGTTTTATTCACATTTTTCCAATTGTCCCCAAAATGCTCTCTTTTTCTTTTCTTTTGGTTCGGGATCCATTCCTCACACCATACACAAGAATAAACTTCTAAATGATGAGAATCTAAATATAACAATGAAACTGCAGAAGTAGAAGAAAATGTGGGTGAATTCCTCCATAACATGTGTGGGGAAAGGCTTTCCAGGTGCAATTAAAAATGAAGACATTTGCCAGAACCGGTTTGGCTCAGTGGATAGAGCGTCGGCCTGCAGACTCGAGGGTCCCGGGTTCGATTCCGGTCAAGGGCATGTACCTTGGTTGCAGGCACATCCCCGGTGGAGGGTGTGCAGGAGGCAGCTGATCGATGTTTCTCTCTCATCAATGCTTCTGGCTCTCTGTCCCTATCCCTTCCTCTCTGTGAAAAATCAATAAGAAATATTTTTTTTAAATGAAGACATTTAACTACATAAAATCCCCTTTAACTTTTTCATGTCCAAGACATCATAAGCAACGTGACAAGACAGCTGACAAGCAGGTTAGGGATTCTGGGGAGTCGCAGAGGCAGACAGGCTGTCCTCTGAGGGCCTTTGAGGCAAATCCAAGTACAACCAGCTGGTGGCAGTGGCCAGCCAGGCAGTCCCAGCATCCCGGATGCAACACCCTTTCCAGAAATGGGAATGGAAATCCTGAGCTACCCCCTCACTCCTCTTAGGATTGCCATTACCAAGAAAACAAAGGTAAGTGCTGGCAGGATGTGGAGAAGAGGCAACCCCGTGCACTGCTGGTGGGAGAGTAAATTGGTGTGGCCACAGTGGAAAACAGTACTTTGTTTTCTATCTTGACAATGGAGTTCAGTAGGCCCAGGAGGTGGGGCAGTGGAGTGTGGACAAGAATAGTGTGGACAATAGTTCAGCTCCCTATCCTCAAGGCCAAGCACACCAGGTGAGTGAGTGAGTGAATGAATGGGCCCAAGCCCTGGTATAAGGCCTGAGAGGGGCCCCACCCAACCTCCCAGCCGGAGCACATCCTCAAAACTCTGGGCCAAGAAGGGGAAGGCAGACAGGCAGAGGGATTGGGTGAGAGTCACACAACAGACCGACAGTCCCAGCGAGAAGGAAGGACAGTGATCAGAAGAGGCAACAGAAGAGGACAACAGTGCACAGAAGAGGCAACCCCGTGCACTGCTGGTGGGAGAGTAAATTGGTGTGGCCACTATGGAAAACAGTACTTGCACAAGTACCCCGGGTACTTGCACTGTTCCCGGAGCTGCCACCCCGCCCTGGGCCTCCTGAACAGGGTGCTCAATGTCAGGCTGAGCTGGCCTGTCTCTGAGTTTTGCGGGACCACGGTGGTGAAGGGGACTCCTTTCAGCTTCCTTTCATTCAGCTTTTACAAATACCAAATTTTCGGAGGGTCCTCAGAAAATTCAGAGTAGAACTGCCATAGGCTCCAGCAATGCCACTTCTAGGTCTAAATCCAAAGGAAATAAAAACAGGATCTCGACGGATATCTGCCCTCCCATTACAGCATGACCCACAGTAGCCAAGATACAGAAAAACCTAAGCGCCCATTGGAGGATGGATGGATAAAGAAAATGAGGTACATATACGCAATGAGATATTATTCAGCCTTTTCCTTCTTTAAAAAGGAGGAAATCCTGCCGTTTGCAACAACATGGATGAACCTGGAGGGCACTGTGCTAAGTGAGCTCAGCCAGACGCAGAGGAACAAATACTGCCTGACCTCACTTATATGTGGAATCTGAATCGCCAAACTCATAGAAGCAGAGAGGAGAGCGGTGATTTCCAGGGGCGGAGGGGAGGAAAGATGGGGAGGTGTTGGTCAAAAGGTACAAAGTTTCAGTTACGCAAATGAATACATTCTGGAGATCTAATGTACAACCTGATGCCCACAGTTAATGGCACTGTATACTTAACATTTGCTGAGAGTTGATCTGAAGTATTCTCACCACACACCAAGAAATGACTATGTGAGGTGATGATATATAAATTAACTTGCTGTGGTCATCTTTTCACTGTGTATATGTATATTGAAACAGGTACTACCATATCACAGTCAGTTTTTTTTATATCTATATCTATACTAATAAAAGGGTAATATGCTCATTAGGGCAGATGTCTTCCAGATGTCCATCCGGACAAAGCCACAGCGGCTACGAAGCCCGGGGCTCAGGCCTCCCAGCAGCGGGGTGATGGGGGCAGCGCCTTCCCCTGATCAGCCTGGTCGGCTCCCGCAAAGAGAGGCCAGACTGTGGCTTAGGCCTGCTCTCTGTGGGGAGCAGGCCTAAGCCATCAGTAGGACATCCCCTGAGAGCTCCCAGACTGTGAGAGGAGGCAGGCCAGGCTGAGGGACGCCCCCCCCCCTGCACGAATTTTCATGCACTAGGCCTCTAGTATATATATATTGATTTCAGAGAGGAAGGGAGAGGGAGAGAGAGACAGAAGAATTAATGATAAGAGAGAACCATTGATAGGCTGCCTCCCGCATGCCCCTCATTGGGGATCGAGCCCGCAACCGGGGCATGTGCCCCTGACTGGAATCGAACCCGGGACCCTTCAGTCCACAGGCTGATGCTCCATCCACTGAGTCAAACCAGCCAGGGCATCACAGTCAGTTTCTAAGGCCCCCAGCTGGCCAGGTCGGGAGAACAGGGATTCCAGGCAGAGCACCCAGGTCTGGCTCAGAGGCGGCCTAGCCAGCACTGGGCAGCCCCCTTGCTGTGACAGCATCACCCCAGTGCTCCGCCTTTGACCCGCCCTATATAGGTCATGTGACCTCCTGTGGTCATCACGGTGGCTCAGGTGTGACCAGTCACCTGGGTGTGCTTCCTGTGACCCCTGTGCAATTCTGTGTTGTAGACAAGACATCTGACATCCCCTGACCAGCATTTCCTTGTTCAATCTTCACGGCTCCCCTGAGCGAGCCATGCAACTGAACTCCATTGTCAAGACAGAAAACCAGAGTCTGAGAAGAGTGGTGACCTCCCGCCCCCACCCCCAGGGACAAACTCGTTGCAGGCCTGGGTCTCGCTGATCCAAAGACCTAATTCTTATCCACTACATGTGGGGGGACCCCGAAGGGAAGTGCTCTAAGAGTCTTACTAAAACGGATTTAACAATTGTGTCCATGGCAACCGCAGCAAGGCCATTACTGGATACTCAGGGCGTTTTCAACGGCTGCCCGATCGTGAGTGTTCCTGTAGTAAAGCATTCCTGTGCTCAGAGCATCGTCCAAATCCTTCGCTCAGGAAAGCTCCGGGAGCAGCATCGGCGGTGCAGAGGGCACGCGTGCTTTCGAGGCTCTTAAGATTGACATGTATCCATTGCCAAGTCACTTTCTAGAAGGATTAGCCCCATGGAGACTCCTCCTGGCAATTCTAATGGAAACACTTCCGTGCACCCTGACCAGGTAACTCAGTTGGTCAGAGCATCACCCCAGTACGCCAAGGTTGCAGGTTCATTCCCTGGTCAGGGCCCATACAAGAAGCAACCAATGAATGTATACATAAGTGGAACAACAAATCAGTGTTTCTCTCTCTCTCTCTCTCTCTCTCTCTCTCTTTCTCAAACCAATAAATAAAAATAAAATTTTTTAAAAACCCACTTCCACCGAAACCAGTTTGGCTCAGTGGATAGAGCGTCGGCTTGCGGACTGGAAGGTCCCAGGTTCGATTCCGGTCAAGGGCATGTACCTGGGTTGTGGGCACATCCCCGGTGGGAGATGTGCAGGAGGCGGCTGATCGATGTTTCTCTCTCATCTATGTTTCTAACTCTCTATCTCTCTCCCTTCCTCTCTGTAAAAAATCAATAAAATAAAAAAAAACAAAAACAAAAACAAAAACCCCACTTCCTCGCCATTGGTACTGTCCCCTGGCAATCGGGCTGCCTTGGGAAGCACCCTGCCCTGCGGGAGTTCAAGGGCCATGTGACTATGTGCTCAGGGCTGCCGGGGCCAGGAGGGCACTGGCATTGTTGCAGGGGGGACTCGGGCATCTTGAGGAACCTTCCAAGTCTCTGTGCCTCGTGGGCTAAGGGCTGAAAGTTCTGATTCTCTTTTCCTCTTCCAAGTTCCCCCTCACTCCTTACTACTTCCGCTCACGCTTCCCCCAGGTACTTGCACTGTTCCCGGAGCTGCCACCCCCGCCCTGGGCCTCCTGAACAGGGTGCTCAATGTCAGGCTGAGCTGGCCTGTCTCTGAGTTTTGCGGGACCACGGTGGTGAAGGGGACTCCTTTCAGCTTCCTTTCATTCAGCTTTTACAAATACCAAGCCATGGGCTGGGGGTTCTGCATACATAATCTCAGTGCGTCCTGACCTCAGGCCTATGAATGCGTGATGTCAAATGGCCTTTCCCAGGTGGAAATAGGCCCTAACACGGATCCTGTCCATCAGAGCAGAGGCAAACCAGGACTGTGTTCCAGACCTGCTCTGTGTCCAGCGATTCTTTTCCTTGGATCTTTCCAGGCTTCTTCCCACAGGCACTCATTCTCCACACACCCCTCCCCTCCCTGGCCTCTGGGAGACAGGGAGGTAGTGGCCTGGCTGCCCAGCTGGCCTAGGATGGCGGCATCAAGGCCTCCCCCTGGCCGCCGGGCCCCTGAGTACCAGAGGCAGGGTCCCTGAGGGAAGAAGGATTTAGGCTCCAAACTCAGCCATTTGGAGTCACTTCCTCAGGCAGCAGGTGAGCTGGTGCAGACTGTTACTCCCACACACAGACTCTAGTCGTGAGAGCCTGTGTGCCGGTTGCCCGGACACGGGACCAGCGGGGCCTGCCCCTTGCTGTGAGGGGCTCGTAGCTGGTGGGGGACACCGGCAGGTAAATCATTGTAGGATCAATGGAATAATAGCAACAACAATGCCTTCTGCCCTACCTGGTTTTTTTGTTTTTTTTAAAATATATTTTATTGATTTTTTACAGAGAGGAAGGGAGAGAGATAGAGAGTTAGAAACATCGATGAGAGAGAAACAT